CCTCCCTGCCCACAAACCGAGCTAAAGATGCTCTATAAAGGATTTGGACTCCCTAGTGTTTCTTCATGGTTTTGCTTTATGGGTCTCCTCTGGGGCCATGGAGGCATCAGCAGAGTTGTAGAACTTCCATTTTGGATCCAGTCCTTCTCTCCCCACCCTCTTCTCCCCGCACAGCCGTAAACTGAGGTTTGAGGGCCGTTCCTTGCTCCAGAGGACTCCTCATTTGGAATTCAGACTTCATTTCCTTTGTCTCATGGCTCTCCCCATGTCCCATTATCAGTTTCTAAGACCACAGCTTATGGCCCAAGTCTCCCATTTCCCCACTAACCCCAACCTCCATTCATTTAGGAGACAGCTGAACAGATGTAAAACACTTCAAAGGTGCCTGGCACACAGTAGATGATCAATACCCATGAATTTCCTTTCTAGACTTGGAGGCTGTAGGCTTTACAGCCTGTTTTTACAGAGCTATACTGACTATTATTGAGTATGAACACAGTGATCCAATAACTGCATGTTAGATATGAAATACTTTGCACATCACAGACCCAATCTTTAAAACCACCAGCATCCGTACTTGGTCAGTGAGACTGTAATTTCAGAAAGAAATTCATATCCATGTCTAGGCATCCACTAGATATGTCCATATCTAGAAAGCTTTTTTAAGTGTTTGGAATCTTTCCCTTGCAAGGAAATGGACTATGGGGTGGTCCAGCTTATATTTGGGATGCCTTTTTCAGCACAGATAAAATTCCAAGACAAAAAGACTTTGATCTCATGTAAGTTCCTTTGTGTAAACAAGCTTGCATAGCAAAATGGTGCAGATAAATGTAGATGAAATGGGCTTTGTACAAATAAATGTAACTATATTATGCTTCTCTGGTATAAAAATAGATCACATGGTAGAGGACAAAAATAGGTGACATGGTAACATAAACCGACTTGTGTAATCAGAGGGTCAAGTCTGACATTTTTCTCTCTAGGCCTTTTCTAATAGTCTTGTTGCTAGGGCTACAATGTTTTTGCCAGATTGGAACAGAATTGTCAACTCTAATGAAGATTAAGTAGCTTGCCCAACTAGGTTTTGTTTTTTTTTTTTTAAGCCTTAGTGAATACTGCTGGCTTTAAAAGTCATAATTATGAAGAATGGAAAGATCTCTAAAAGATCTATTTTTAAAAAAATATATAACTAATAAAATTTAAAATTGACTAGACAGTTTCCATTTCACAGCTATTCCAACATAAACTTTTATCAGTCACATTGAACAAAATAACTAGAAATATTTCATACATTTAAAAAAAGGAATAAGAAATTATCCAAAAACAATTCACCAAAGACTGAGTAATTAAGGTTACTTAACAAACAATTCTTCTGATTAGTTGGAAAATTATGTTTCACCACTGTTCACAAATTGATACCTGATTTATTCTGTAGACAATATAGATTAGGCATAGGATAAAATCCTCTGTATTTGGTTCCTCCCAGTCATTGGTCAGTCATCTGACAACAGACTATCTGAGGAAAGTGTAAATACAAAGTCACCCAATAAAACATGAATAAGCTTTGCAAAGCACAGTAAAGGAAAGCCAGTTTGTTCTGAACACTTTATTGCTAAAAGGATGTAAAGGGTAAGAGGAAAAAGGTGATGAAACAATCCTTTTGTTATGCTTGTTGGGGAGTCAGGATGAACTTCCTTGGCCAGGGATAGAAGGAAGAGATCATCTAAACTTCAAAAACCACAACATAATTTGCATACTTCCTTGGCCAGGGATAGAAGAGACCATTAAACTTCAAAAACCACGACACAATTTGTGTGCCCATTGACCCCAGTTTTACTTGTACACAAAAGCATGATAATTAAATAAAAATTCACGTAATGAGTAAACAATAAACGCTAAGTGTTTATTCCCCTCATGTATTTATATATTTGCAGCCAGAAATTCCAATGTTATGCGTAACATTGCTTTTCCAATAACCTTATAGCCTTTAGAACCAAAAGTAAGTCATCTTAATTTGAATATTACAGCATTAGTGACATCTGGTGGAAAATATAAGAGTTACAATGTAGCATTATATAGCTATTCTGATCTTTCACGTAAATTTTAAATAAATTTTACATACTAAATGAAAACAAGATGAAGAAATGGTCTATGAAGTTATCTACCTTATTGTGCTAATAATCTTTGAATCTATATGCTAAAATATATAGGTTAATGAACATAAGAAATGTTAGTGCATTATACTAATAAAAGCATTTTTCAGCATGCGTGTCCATATAGTGAAAAAATGATAAAAAGGGTCTCTTTTTATGAGACTCACAATAGGATAAAGAGTCCATGCCTCTATTTAAAGGAGAGCCCATACCTCTCTTTTTATGGCATCACATGCCAAAAAGCCTCCCTTAACAAGTTTTCAGATCAAATTGTGAACTGTGGGGTGTGTTAGGATGTATGTCAAGAAAATAGCTAGTTGTGCTTTGGAGAATATGGAATTTAGGTATATTTGGGAGAGACATTCTGTTTGAGATACTATGGATGGAGGCAACAAATTATGTTTTACAAGTGAGCTTTAAATATTACAATATCAAATGCTCTGAACTAGGGAGGGGTTTGAATATTTGTGACCAAAAGAGCAAACTGTGATCTATTACAGGACTGGCAAACTACAACCCTAGGGTCAAAGCAAACAGCTATGTTTTTTTCTTATTGGAACACACTCATGCTCATTCATTTATGTATTGGCTATGGCTGTTTTCAGCCTCTTGAGTAGGTGCAAGAGACCATATGCCTTCAAAAGCAGAACTATTTACTACCTGGCCATTTACAGAAAGTTTGCCAGTCTCTAGTCCATTAGATAACTGTCATCAAACTTCCTGGTGCCCTTTCCACCACCTCCATGGGAGGAGTATACTTCCTGGTCCCATCCCATTAAAGTTTGGCTTGGCCTTCACTTGCTTTGGTCAGTGTGAAAAAGCTGGCTTTCAGAGTCCTAACCAATATCCCTCCAACAGAATGAGCTAGGTGCAGCAAAAGTCAACCAATACATAAGACTGTTATACCTCAGCATAAACATTCTCACAGAGGTTTGACTTCTCTGATGACACTGGGAAAAGGATCCTGAAAGCCAGATATATTTCCACTCCTCCTGGGCTCTACTTCAGACCATGATGGGCTTAACCTCTGTTCATCCCTCTACATATGGTAAGCAACACTGAGCCAGAGTCCAGGCCAGGCCTAGAGACCCATCATGCTGTCTTAAGAAGAACCTTCTCTTTAACATGGTGTAGAAACCACTCACAAGTCTTTCAGCTGTTGGTTTAAATGTCTTCCTCCTGAGGTAAGCCTCAAGGTCTAAAAAGAGGATGGGACAGTCCACTTGGAGCTACAGGGCAAAGCTTTTCCAGTCTAGCTTCACCTCAATAAAGTTCATAGTTTGGCTCCCACTCAGCTCCAAAATGTGTATTTTATACATTATTAATTATTATTTTTTGAAATAGTCTTGCTCTGTTGCCCAGGCTAGAGTACAGTGGCACGATCTTGGCTCACTGCAACCTCCGCCTCATGGGTTCAAGCGATTCTCCTGCCTCAGCCTCCCAAGTAGCTGGGATTACAGGTGCCCGCCACCATGCTCAGCTAATTTTTGTATGTTTTGTAGAGACGGGGTTTCACCATCTTGGCCAGGCTGGTCTCAAACTCCTGACCTAGTGATCCACCTGCCTCGGCCTCCCAGTGCTGGGATTACAGGCGTGAACCACCGCACCCAGCCCAAAATGCATATTTCTTAATTGATTATATAATCTGTAAGGGTTAAAATGACTCGTCATGACTAGCTCCCCAGAAACCTCAGAGTAAACGGTAACATGCAAATGATACAAAAATCTAAGAATTGAATCCTGTTAATAACGGTAGCTGAGTTGAAATAACCAGAGTATTCACACAACCTTTAAAAATGTGATTTCAGCAGGGCGTGGTGGCTCACGCCTATAATCCCAGTAGTTTGTGACATTAAGGCAGGTGGATCATGAGGTCAGGAGTTCAAGACTAGCCTGGCAACATGGTGAAACCTCCTCTCTACTAAAAATACAAAAATTAGCCACGGGTGGTGGTACATGCCTGTAATCCCAGCTACTCGGGAGGCTGAGACAGAATTGCTGGAATCCGGGATGCGGAGGTTGTAGTGAGCTGAGCTGCGTCACTGCACTCCAGCCTGGGCGACAGAGTAAGATTCCATCTTGGGGCAAAAAAAAGTGATTTCACAGAATTTAGTCTGACATCTCAAATAGTTAAAATACAAATGAAGCATTTATTTGCCATTTTCTTGATCTCATCTAGCTGGGTAACACCAGTGCTCCATTTATTCCATAAAGACATGAAGAGTCTACAAATTTGTCACTGAGAACCCAGAAACTGCCACTGATCCACAGTATTTGCTCAATATGTAATTTCTGAATGAACATTCAGACTATCTGCAATTACTTCATACACATAAAGAACTTAAGAGTGTCTAATAATAAGCATTAATAAACTGAATTTTTACAAAATGAGGTCAGATTTAGATTAGAGATGAGAGAAGACTTTACAAATCTGCCTTAAATTGACCTTGGAAAAACAGGTGAGAATTGGATAGAAAGCATGTACCAGATGAAGGTATTAATGAAAGCATAGGAATAAGCATAGTATTTAAATACCTAAAGAAAAGTAGGCTGATAATAAGGCTGAGAGTATAGTAAAGTACTAAAATCAACATTTGTTCAACTGGAATTGTTGGACTAATTCCAAAGGACATTTATCCTTTCACAATGATGAAGTAATAGCTTTGTCTATTGCTATGAGATCAACAGGATGTGATCAAAGTTTATCCATTAGATTGAAGACACCTGAAGACTCACTCAACTTTGTATCTTTAAGTTCTATAACTTCATAGGAACAAGAATTCAATAGTTATGCTGAATCAATTCTAATTACCATTTAACTATATCAACACCAAACCAGTATCAAAATTTTTAAGACAAATTTAAAACAAACTTAACTTTATTTCCTCACTTTCACTTAAAACTTGATTTTATAAAACACACACACACAAAAACATTTTTAAGAGTTCTGTATCACAGAACATTAAAGAGTACAAATATCCATTGCTTCATAGGTTCAAGTTACATAAATTAAAGTCAAATTTGGAAACTGATTCATTAGGGAAAACTATACATGAAATGAAGGTCAAAAGGAGCTAATACAGCAATATTTCATTGTTTATAGATTATTAGTTACTTTCAGGACCTCAACAAAGATTCTGAATATTTAGACTTCCTTTGCTGTATTTTATACTTAAATATCTCCCTACCTATACTGAGTCAAGCTACTTGACCAAAACATCTGATTTAGGAAAGCATTTAGCTTTATAGCACAAGTTTTTCCATCTACAGTTACTATCTTCAAAGGAATATACATCACAACGTTGACGAAAAAAATTCCTGGTTCCTTTTGAACAGTGTGCAATAAATTCATGATGTTAACTCCATGGTAAGTCAAATAGGCACCAAAAAATAAAAGGAACAATTACACACAGTTCAGTAAGTATCATTTTGGTTTTCTCCATGTAAAAATTAACCAATGAAATAAAACATATTAACTATAGATGATTTGATTTCAGGAAAACCAAATTTCAAAATTACAATTACATTATTTTCCTCACGTCATCCTCAGTCATTGACAGGAATTTTGTAGGCCACCATGCTATTTACTTTGTGGATTGTAGTAGTAAATGAACGAAGGCGGACTTCCTCAGAATTGGTAATAAACTGTGGTCCCGACTCTTCCCATTTTTCAGGTACAACCAAATCTTTGTCTGTATAAATCAGCAGATCAAATGAACCTAAATTGGGGATAAGATCATTAAAGTACATTACTTTCTAAAAGTAAAACTAATCTTGTTGCCTCTCTTCTATTTTGAACAACTCACTGCTGGAAAAGGTCATTTGGCTTGGCCTCTAATCACGAATTTATTTTGCTCAATGAACATTTATCTTAATAAAGAAAATATTGTATCTAATTTCTGTGCAATTTAGTGATTGTGTTCAAATAACCCTTATCTTATTTAATAATGGTCCCAAGGGTGGGTGCGGTGGCTCACGCCTGTAATCCCAGCACTTTGGGAGCCCAAGGCGGGCGAATCACGAGGTCAGGAGGAGATCGAGACCATCCTGGTTATCATGGTGAAACCCCGTCTCTACTAAAAATACAAAAAATTAGTTGGGCATGGTGGCAGGTGCCTGTAGTCCCAGCTACTGGGGATGCTGAGGCGGGAGAATAGTGTGAACCTGGGAGGCAGAGCTTGCAGTGAGCCGACATCGCGCTACTGCACTCCAGCCTGGGCGACAGAGTGAGACTCCGTCTCAAAATAAATAAATAAATAAATAAAAATAATGGTCCCAAAGCACAAGAATAGTGATGCCAGCATATTGTTATAATTGTTCCAGTTTATAAACTCTTACGATGCTTAATTTACATATTAAATTGTATCACAGGTATGTATGCATAAGAAAAACATCATATAGGGTTCATACTATCCATGGTTTCAGGTAGTCACTGTGGGTCTCCTTGTGGAAAGGGAGACTATGATACATTAATTTTGCTTTATAATGTTTTTTCTTCAATTTATATTACATAAATCTGACAAGACAAAATTGAATAAAGGGGTGATTAAGGCAGTAGCTTAGTCTTTTTGCCAATCAATTTAATTCAACAAGAAGTTGTATAATACTTACAGGAAACTTCCAACAGTGGCAGAAATGTCACCGTAGCTGTTATCTGTCTGATCACTGAACGGATTTCATCCTGGATAGCTTTCTGAGACTTTTCTCTGGGTGCACTGTCAAAAAAAAAAAAACAACAGTGCACCCAATCAATTAATTAATTTTAGGTTTTAAGTTATTTCAAACATAGTGGTAAGATTATTTATTTGATTAAATGCTCTCAACATCAAATAAGCAGTGCTTTAAAAAGGAGGTTTGTAAAAACTGTGAATGAAAGTATCCTTTGGACCTATAACCTAGTAGGCACAACATACATCCTCATTACTTCATTTATCCTGCCAGGCATCTTTTAGAGCTGGTCTTAGTGTCAGGTCATTTAGTATCAGATGACTAGAAAATCTGCCAATCATTTCAAGTTCAGGAAACTTCAGCATCTCTTGAAATAAAATAACAAATGCTATCTAAAATATTTAATTGGTATAATCATTTCGGCACTTTTAGTAATGCCTAAATGTCTAAATTCCTATTATCTCAAATAAAACATTAAATTGTGTATCAAATTATTTTATAAGCTAAAAATTTCCTAAAATAAACCAAAGCCTTCAGAAGCAAACTACATTTCACTATAAGAAATGGTTCCCAGTTTATAGAAAAGCATGCCTAGGACAATGCTAAACATTAGAGTATAAAGACAGACACTTCTCTTCCAGGGAGTCTGGAACTTTCAGAAATTTATCAAGTGTCTTAGGAAGTAGATGGCATTAAAGGAAGAACAGCAGAGCTACATCATAAATTGTGTGAATCTAATATAATTCCTTATAGTTAAAAACATCTTAGAACAATTCATTAAATGGTTCATCTAATATATCATGTGTAGTTTTGTATATACCACCATAAATACTGTTTGAAAATTACTGATTTAGACTAAAGGCAATTATATATATACAAATCAATGATATGTTAAACCGACAATTCTTTTCCACAGGTGACTGAGGATATCTTAGAAAATGTAAATTAGAAACAAACTATATTTTATATAAAACTAGTTCAATATAACTAGAACTCAATTGGTAATAAAAACAAGTTTTGAAAAAAATATATCAAAGTAGAAATAATGTAATTCCTACTTACCTGTCATCTTTTGCAGTCTTGTCACACTCAATATCAAACTGCCATCTTTCCAGGACCTCACCACTTTCAATATTTGAGATAACTACAACCAGTTTCTGAACTGAACACTTGTATAACCAATCTGCAACACATAAAAATGAAGGCATCTTTCTTGGTCCACTGCATCATAAAGTAGCTCTCTTCTCAGGTCCTACTCCCTATCCTCAGCAAATTCCTACCACTGCTATCTTGGACTTCCTCCTACGTGCAAGAAAATTTGCACTATCAATACTCTAACTTCTGTTTTCAAATTTTCAGTATCTGTACCAGGTACAGTAATTGGTGCTGAGGACAGAATACTGAACATGTGGTACTTTCATCCTAATCCAAGATAAAAGCATAGGAGATGGGCATTCATCTACTCATCACACCAATAAATGACAAATTATCATTGTAATGGCTGCTATGAAAGAGAGATGTAAGATGCAATGAGAGCATAAAAGAAGGAAAATTTGAGCCACTTACGGAGGTCAGAAAAGGTTTGAGTTTAGCTGTAGGGATAAACAGCATTAAATATGCAAAAGGATAGGAAAGAAGATACAGGCCTCAAATACTCACAAGGGAAGAGCATATAACTAGAAGACTGGAAGCAGCTTACTACAAGTGCAATCAAGAAACAAACAAACAAACAAACAAACAAAACAATACAATACAATCCTTGCAAGATTAATAGAAGCCAGACCACGCAAAGCCTGGTGGATCAAATTAAAAAAATATGCACTTCAAGACCAGTGAAGTCATTACTGTGTGTGAAGCAGGATGTAAAGCAATTAGTCTTGTATTTCAAAACTATCATTCTAGCTGTGATATGGAAAGTGGACTGGAGATGTGAAAGAGGGGATCTAGAGACACTAGTTGGTCCATCAGTAATTCGAGCAAGAGTTAATGAAAGCTTGTAGGAGGATAAACTGGTAGAGACGAAGCAGTAGGTAAATGTAAGAGATTTCATGGTTAAAATTTATTGGGTTTAGTCATGGTAGTAAGGAAGAAACATGATTCAGGGACAGCTTCCAAGTTTCTTTTATTTCTGTTTGGACAGTTTAGCCACCGACAGAGAGAAAATTAAAGAGTATCAGTTTTGGATATGATCCTAAATTTAATTTTTAGTATGCTTGAGTATATGTTATCTCTGGGATAGCTACATAAAGATATAGCTGCTGAATATATGAGTCTGGAGAAAGAGGCTTTGGGATAGATATATAAGTTTGTGAGTTGACTACACAGAGGTTGCTAGTGAAGCTATACACAGGTCAGAGATCACCTATAGAGAAATTATAAAGACAGAACGGGGGCTCAGATTGAGCCTTGAAGTCATCTTGGAAATTGAAACAGCATATTCAGGAGTCAGCAAAGTTTTTGTAAAGAAACTTTGTAAAGAAAAATTACAAAAAAGAGTAATTAGTAAATATTTTAAGCTTATAGGCCACCAAGGTCTCTGTTGTTTATTTTTAAACAAACCTGTAAGTGTAAAAATATTCTTAGCTTGTGGGCAGTGCAAAAACAGGCCACCTGTTGGATGTGGCCTGTGGGCCTTGTGATCCCTGGCATTTATCAACAACTTTTTATGAGTTTCACTCTGAAAAGGAGGAGACTGGGTGGTAATTTGTTCTTCCTTTAAAACTGGAGAGATGAAAACAATGGGGATAATTAAAATCAAAACACAGAAGCAGAAAATATAACAGAGAACAGGATCAAGATCCTAAAAAAGGCTAGAGGAAATGACATTCAAAACAAAACAACTGGCTGGGTGTGGTGGCTCACGCCTGTAATCCCAGCACTTTGGGAGACAGAGGTGGGTGAATCACGAGGTCAGGAGTTCAAGACTAGCCTGGCCAAAATGGTGAAACCACATCTCTGGTAAAAATGCAAAAATTAGCCAGGCATGGTGGCAGGCGCCTATAATCTCAGCTACTCGGGAGGCAGAGGTTGCAGTGAGTGGAGATCACGCCACTGCACTCCAGCCTGGGTGACAGAGTGAGACTCCAAACAAAAAACAAACAGAACAACTTGCCTCTAGGGAAGAGCAATTTTTCCACTTTAACTAAAATAAAAGGGAGAAGTTAAATAGGAAGGTGTAGACACACATAACGTGAAGTGTCATCAATGTAGTCTCAAAGGAGACAACCTAAAAACCATTGGCTTCAATGCAGTCTCAAAGGAGACAACCTAAAAACCATTGGCTTAGGCAATGCTTGCTTCTCTAGCAAATTAAGATGGAAACACACATCCATAGTTGCCTAGAGGTTCCAGGCCAAATGATCTGAGTGCAGCCCTATGAATCACTACAGATGATTTATTCCTGACCCCAATTTTGGATGCAACTCTGGGAGAGGTGGACACTCCTATCAATGTCTTTCCTGTGTACACTTGAGAACAGAGGTCTATTCCCACACCAAAAGAGGTCTCATCTTGCTATTTTGACAATACCAATCTACTACAGCAGCAGTTCTCAACTAAGGGCAATTTTGTCCCCTTGGGCACATCTGGCAATATAATTTATGGAGACACTTTTGGTTGTCAGAGCAAGGTGGTTTGTTACTGGCATTTGGTTAGTAAAGGCCATAGATGTTGGTAAACATTCTATAACACACAGAAAAGCACCCACACCAAAGAAATATCCAGGCCAAAATGTCAACAGGGCTATCTTCCCTTGCCTGTCAATTTAAGACGTAACATCCACAGGTTGTTGAGGCATTCCACTCCTGTACACATAAAAGGCAAGGCAATGTTAACAGTTTATCTAGAGGATAGTATAGGTTGAAAGAGAGTTATCAAGCTAAAAAAGTTCACACGGCCATTATCGGAAGGGCATATTAAAAATGGGTTAGTAAAAATGCAATAAAAACGGCAAAACAAAGACACATTTCTGGTCAACAACAAAAGAAATAATTTCTAAAAAAAAAAAAAAAGAAAAAACAGATGGCCACTGTAGTACTTTCAAAAATTTTAGAAGATCAAATGGGAGAAACATTTGAAAAATTAGAAATGAGAATCCTAAGTGGAGGGTAACATGAAAGAGAAACTAACAGGAATTCTAGAAAGGAAAAAGAAATAGATGAAGAACAAGTATTCACCCGACAGGTAATACAGCAATTTCTCGAACTAAAAAAAAATGAACGTTCAGACAGAAAAGGCTTACTGAATCACCGGCAGAATTTTTGAAAACGACAAACAGAAATACGTGAAAAACAAAACAAAAAAAAAACTGTGAGTGTTCTGTCATTTAGCAGCTAATCTTTTTCTTTTTTTGAAGTTTATCTGGTTGAATCCAATTTCCTTGATATTAATCTAATGATAACATTAGACTACAGAAAACTAGTTACAGAAAATACATTATATTGAGAATATGTAGTGTATATTTTCTCAGATAGTGAACACCATTATAATTATGTAAAATTCCAACCTGTTCCATTTGGCCACATTAACTGCAAAAGCCACTTCCAAGGGAGTTGATGAAGACTATTTTTCAGCCATATCAGATTTCTTACATCAAAATACTCAGCCCACTCACAATGTAGTGGGGGAAGAGTGAATTTCTTCCATTTTATATATTATCCTCTCAACTTAAAATATATTTGAGATGTGAGTACACTTCTATTTGCAGAGCGGAAAAATGACCACTTGAGATGCTAGAAAATCTGCAAGACTCAAATTATTTCCAATGATTAAATACCTTTTAGTTGTTCCACCACATTATTTAGGTATTTTATGAGCTCAAGATCAGTAGTTACAAGCAAGGTGAGTCCGTATTTCTGCACTCGAGTAAAAGTTTCAGATGGATATATGCCACGCTGATATAAAATGCTGTTGATGCCGAATGCTGCAAGCAAAAGAAATGTTACAGAAAATTCATTATCACTGCATAACTCTGGAAAATAAAATATATTTAGATGTGGCTATATTTTCATTAGGCTATACAGCTATAAATGACTGAACACACGTGTATCTTGCTGAAAGCAGAGTAGGTACAAAGTGGCATTAAAAATCCTTAAAAGTCTTGTATCTAAGTAAAAAAAGATACTTGTTTTCAAGTGCCAAGGAAAAAAAAAGCCAAAGTGTATCAACCTACTATTGCCAAATTTCACCTCATTGTAATCCAAGTCCAAATTCAGATTATGAGGCTAGAGGATGTCAAAATAGGCTGTTGCATTCGAGTCAGCAACTGACTGAATAGTCACTGTGCTCCAGACAAGCCTGTATCTTCCCCTTTCCCTCCCAAATCCTGCCAGGTTCCTTTACAACGTGCAGCTGGCCTGTTCGAGAACAAGGGTTCCCAAAATCTTGTTTACCGCCAGCCTCATGCCTAATAATCACTTAGAGTGGGAGGGTGAGGGTGCTCTCGCAGTTAAAAAAAAACACACACATACACACCCACACTGGGACCCATCCCAGTCACGCTGTGTCCTGTATCGGAAAGTAAGGGGTGGGAGGTGGGACGGATCTGCACTTAAAGGAAGAAACGCTCCGGAAGAGGCTACGCCGCGAGGTAGGCCCCAGCAGCACGCAGGCTTGCAGCTCCACGTTATAGCAACGCGTCAGGAGGAACAGCCTGCAGCCGCCGCTCCCAGATTACTTCTCCGGTCTCAGAGGCCGAGCTGTGGGCCTACTGAGCCGCCACGACTCAGTTCCCCCCAATATATTGGCCGGCGCGAGGACTTACAGAAGAACTCGGCCACGATTTCAGCGCTCCCGCGCAGGGTGATTCCCTGCTCCCGGGAGAGCTGCAGCGCCATGGCCAGGGACACAAACAAAGGCACGCACTTGCACTCGGCGGACAGCAACCACAGCGGCTCCCACAGCACTTCCCCGCCAAGCGTTTCAAAAGTAACGACGCAGCACGTTGTCCGGTCCTCTGCGCAGGCGCGACGAGCCTTTAAGCCCCGCCCCACGCGACGGGGTCCTGCCCTTTCTCTCCGCCTTCCTGCGATCTCGCGGGAACGGCCGGTTTGCGCAGGCGCAGTTGGTGGACCTGCTCGCGCTTGCCGGTTGTGACACTCCGGTAGGTTTAGGTTAGGCTGTGTATTCTGGTCGTGGTTTACTAGTTGGGGCCGAGGGAAGAATATGTCGATTCCAATTTCAGTAGCCGCTCTCTAGGCTTATGAACTGAAAGACCAAGGAGCACAGTTTCCGAGTTTCAAAGATACTTTCAAACTGAAAGGAACGGTTTGCCAGGTGCGCCCGTACTGGCCCATGTGACCCCTAGTGAAAGATCTAAACTTCCGCTAGATGCTTTGGGAATTCCTAAAGCGACTACGTGCACGGCAGCCAACCCACAGCTTTAGAGGGTTCGCCTTCTGTGTGGGAGCGCGGCTTTTCCCGAGAAATTGGGTTAGGGATTAAAGAGAACTGCATCCTTTTTTCTGCCCTTTGTCCGCGTCTGTCCTGAGCTTAGGGCCACCCCTCCGAGGCCAGCGGGGTAGGCAAGTCGGGCGGTAGGGGGCTGCATCCGGAAGTCCAGACTGCGTTCTGTCCACCCTGCCCACCCTTAGGGGGCAGGACAGGAATAAGGTCACCTCACCAAAGAGGCCCATCAACATTGAAGAATTTTTCAATGAATCTTGACTCACCAAACTCAATGACTTTTCATTGAAAAGGGTGAGAATTATTAAGGAGATATTGCACAATTAATGTTCATGTCCATTTTGAAATAAGTATTCTTAAAGCAGCTAGGAAGATATTTGTAAAACGACGCCTGAAAAACTCTCATATCTGCCAGACATTATAAGAGAAATACTTGAGTGTTGTTAGTTTTCCGTTTGCTGCATAACGAATTACCACACATCAGTGGCTTCAAAACAACACTTATTCGTTTTCTCAGTCCTGTAGGTCAGAGGTCTGGACGTGTTATTGTTGACTGCTTTGCTCAGTCACACAAGGTTGAAATCGAAGGGTCTGCAAGTGGGATCTCATCTGAGGTTTGGGGTCCTTCTAAGCCCTCTGGCAGAATTTCCTTGGGGTTGTTGGACTGAGGTCCATTTTGTCTCGCCAGCTGTTGGCCAGAGGCCAGCTATGTTTGTCAGCTAGCCCTTCCACAAGCCTTCTCACACTTCCCATCTCTGTGATTTCGGGGAGACCCCAGCCTCTTTTAAAGGCTCACCTGATTAAGTCAGACCCAGTCACATCTCCCTTTTGATGAACCTAGTGCCAGAAGTGATATCTGCTCATATTTGTAGTTTTCCTACCCAGACTCCAGGGAGGGGATTATGTAGATGTGCTCTCTAGGGGCCAGGAATGTGGGGAACTGTCTTAAGAGTTCTGCCTGTACAGTGTTGTATATCATGTTTTGATCAGTTTGAAGAGTAAGGGATGGGTGTGATAGGTTGCAGGCTGACTTGACCCAGTAAATTTTCCTTAAATCCTTTCATCTCTGTGTGTGTATAAATCACAATCCTTGATGTGAAGAACAGTGTCAGGGAAAGTGCGGAGTAAGAAGCAAGAGAGTTGGATGTCCTTCGCGCCTTCTACTGGAAGCTTGGGTAGAGCTAGAATTTTGGCATCACGCTGGTAGAACATGGTGCCCATGTTTTTCCACATAAAAACAAGTTCCTCTTGTTTCTAAGGAACTTGATATTAACAATCAGCACTTCAGGAAAGATTTTCTTGAGTTTCATGGTATGTAGTTTTTAAGTTCCCTGAAGCTACAAATAATTTAGTATAACCTGGAAATTCTAGAAATTAAAAGACTGGCATAATTACGATTTTTCTGTGTACAGAGGAAGTACTAAATATCTGTACCCTATGAGGAGACATAAGACATGAGGTTTAGAAGGTATGGTCTGTGTCGTTTGAGGAGTTTGTAGTCTACTTCGGTTTAAATATTTATACTTTTTTTTTTTTTTAATGAAAATTCGAAGTTCATGAGTTTGGCCTTATCTGGTTTCTGCCTGCATGGGAAGCCTGCTATCAGATTACTTTCCTCGTCTGTCTGCTCCTTTCAATAACTTGGCCCTCCATGTTCTTTTCCACCTTAGTACTTTCCATAATGTACATTCCTTCTCTACCCAGAAATTTCACTTTATCTGCTCAGATTCCTAATTATATTCACACTCTTTCTTAACTTAAATGTTACTTTGCTTAAAGACATTTTCGTTGGCCCTTCGGAACTGTATAAGGACCTCTCTGAAGTATTTTCATAGCATTCATAGTGCTACTTCAGAGCATTTCTTTTATTGTAAAAAATTGTATAATGATTTGTGTTATACCTGATCTGTTTTCTTGTATCAAAAATAAAATTAGGATGAATCTAAAAGTTTATTGTCATAGAAAAAGTACAGATCAGACTCTAGGAGACTTCAAACCAAGTGGGAAGGGTGGTAAGAAACTTGCACTCAGCAATAATGGCACAGCTTATAAGGATAAAGGAGGAAGCATTTGGAGCTTTTCCATGATTGGTTCTTATACATTAAGATTTTTTTGTGGGGGGCAAACAGCTGTTTAAGTTGATTTGTTTATAGTTGATTGGCTTAATTTCACAGAATCATACTAACAAAAATGTAAAGCTTGTGTTTTGTGTTTATGATTAGAGCATTTCAGGGAAATCAAGATGACTTAAGCTTTCGGTTATGTGGTTATGGGCAGTTGGCCTTGATGTATATCTAAACTGTGACTTCCATGTTTATTTTATTTATTTATTTTTAACACCTGTAAGATCCATGACGGCATTTAGTGGATTTTCAATAAATGTTTGTTGAATGAATGAATATTTGCTTAGGAGAGCTTTATGGAAGAATCCAAAACATTTTCTAATTGAAGAGTAGGTTGGATGGATGAATGAGGTCACTTTTAGAGAACTGTGAATACCCATCTGTGTTGATTTTATAGGGGGTACCAGGGTTTTCTAGGTTCTTAGGATTGACATAATTAAAGGGGCATTTTTAAAAAATGTTAATTCAGTAATGGTTGTAGAATGGATTGTGTACAGGACAGTCTAGGGTAGTGACCTCAAACTTGATCATGTAGAAGAATTACCTGTGTGTTTTGTAAATTCCTGGCTTTTATTCCACCTTCTCCAGAACTGGTTCAGGCCACACTGAAGCACCTGAAGTATGCTGATCCAAATTGATACATGCTGCAAGTGTAAAATACCAAATTTCAAAGACATCTAAACTAATGGATATAAAGTATTATGTTAATATGTTTTCTCATTGATTACATCTTGAAAGAATATTTTACATGCATTGGATTACATAAAATATATTATTAAAATGATTTCACTGGCTTCTTTTTAGTTTATTTTCAGAGTGATTACCATGACATTTAAAATTATGTATGTGACTCGTATATTTTTATTGGACAGTATTTGTCTACAGTATGGGGTCTAGAGAATGATATGTTTTAACAAGCATTGCAAGTGATTCTGATGCAAGCTCTTAGACCAGTCTCTAAAAAACAAGATACTGTGATGGATATTTTAGCATGCAGGGCTAGGAAGTTGAGTGTCTGAAATAAATGGATGCCAGAGAGGTTGAATAAGAAGAGATACTTTAGGAAAAGATATTTTGAAACAAGGACTGAGTTGATGATTGATAATGGAAGAATGAAGTGGTAGTTCAGATAAATCTGAGGTGCCACGTCTGCAGTACAGGGTAGTATTTGGTCCACATTATGGTAGGAATAGCTGCCCAAACTCTAAACTTGTGCTAGTTCTTATTTATCAGAGTAGCACCCAAGATTCTAAAAGCTTTGGAGGGACTTCTTCCACATTAACTTTTGGGAACTTTATTTGCCATTGACCGCATCTTATCAAATACATGCATACTTATCTTTACAGAATGTTTCAAAACTTGTTTTCAGTTACTTTAACTTACTTTTCTTTATAATTCAATGAAATCTTTTTAATGTGTATTGTTTAGGGGAAGGCTATTTGGACAGGGAGAAGAATAAATTAAGACTTTTTTCTGAAGAAAATTCAAGCAGAATGCATAACCAAACAAACTCATATTAATAAAAGAGATAAAGTGTGTCATAAACAGGCCTATATTTTATATTAAGGTGCTAAAAACAGAAACATAATTTTCTAAAGCTAAAATCAAATAAAATTTTAGGATGAAAGTGACTTAATTAATGATTAGTTTAACAACCTTGAAGATATGGAAACTGAGGTCCAGAATGGCTATACAGTTAGTCTCAGATTCAGTATCTTGATAGTGGTATAGTTAGCAGACAATCTAGGGTTTCTGACTTAGTCTCCTTTTAAATTATATCCATTTGAAGACATTCTGAAAAATGTTCTTTTTCAAAGGTTATTTTGAAAAAAAAAAAACAACCTGATTTTACGCTAATGATTTTTACTCAATAACCTATACACATAACTTGTCCAAAAAAATGGCAGTTATATAATACGAACCATAATTTTTTTTGTTATTATTATACTTTTAAGTTCTAGGGTACGTGTGCATAACGTACAGGTTTGTTACATATGTATACTTGTGCCCATATTGGTGTGCTGCCCCCATCAACTCGTCAACACCCATCAACTTGTCATTTACATCAGGTAAAACTCAGTATGCAATCCCTCCCCCCTCCCCGCTCCCCATAATAGGCCCCGGTGTGTGATGTTCCCTTTCCCGAGTCCAAGTGATCTCATTGCTCAGTTCCCACCTATGAGTGAGAACATGGGGTGTTTGGTTTTCTGTACGAACCATAATTTTATGTAGATACACAAAGACTTGCAACTGCCACAAGGTGGCACCGTATGCATGTGAAATACTACCTTTTAAAACCAGTAGTACATGCTTTAGTTCAAGGAAAAATGAATTTATTATTTTCTAAGGTATTAATATGTGTGGAATACTTCAGAATGACATGTGGAATCATAATATATTACAAAACTGGTATCCTTTTTTGTTTGTTTCTTTTTTGAGACAGAGTCTTGTTCTGTTGCCGAGGCTGGAGTGCAGTGGCATGATCTCGACTTGCTGCAACCTCTGCCTCCCAGCTTCAAGCGATTCTCCTGCCTCAGCCTCCCAAGTAGCTGGGACTACAGGCACTTGCCACCTTGCCCGGCCAATTTTTGTATTTTTAGTAGAGACGGGGTTTCACTGTGTTGGCCAGGCTGGTCTCAAACTCCTGACCTCGTGATCCGCCCAACTTGGCTTCCCAAAGTGCTGGGATTGTAGGTGTGAGCCACCGCGCCTGGCCCAGAACTGATGTCCTTTTAAACATTTAATATCCTCTTAAGCATTTAGTATACACACATACACACATGCACACATACTGAAAACACACATACACAGGTTGAGCATCCCTAATCTGTAAATCTGAAATCTGACATGCTGTAAAATCTGAAATGTTTTGAGCACTGACATAATGCTCATAGGAAATGCACACTGGAGCATTTCAAATTTTGGATACTAAATCAGTAAGTATATATAATGCAGATATTCCCAAATCTGAAAAAATCCAAACTCTGAAACACTTCTGGTCCCAAGCATTTCAGATAAAGGGTACTTATGCTGTGTGAGGATTCACGTATATGTGTGTGGTGTGTGTGTGCGTGTGTGCACATACACCATTTAATTTGCTTATTCGTACTTAGAAAACATTTTTTAAAGTATGTTATTATTCTCATAAACTTACAGAGTTTTTTTT